AATTATTCTGATTTCTTCTGTAATTATTATCTTCTCTGAATTGCTGACCATTTTGATTTTTGATAATAATTACTTCATTCGTCAAAGAATCAATGCCTTGTCTGATTTCATTTTTTTCCCGTTTCAGCTCATGCTCTTGAACGGTTTCAGTATCGACAATGCGAACATTTCGACCTTTCTGTATATCGGCAACTCGTAATGCTTCGAGTCTAACGGCAATATTCTCTGCCTCATTAATTGATTTTGGTCCAACCTCCCTTAACCTGAGTCGTACTTCTGTCTCAGGAATGGCATCAATAACATAATCTAGAGCTAATGTGTCCCTAACCAATGGAGAGGTACCAGGATAAGCCCTGCGTGTCAGTTTCTTAATAGCTTGAGCTAATTCAGGCAGACTTTCGTTTTTAAATCGTACTCGTGTTTGCAACTCTGCTCTAAACACTTCAGCTCTATTGACTGAACCAAACCGATTCTTAAGAGACGTGACCAAACTGTCAAAATCGTGCTATCGACTTACGTGATTACGTGACTTGAGTTATCATTGATATGTTCATAATTATAAATTAACTGTTAACAAAACTTTGAATTTTTGAAAAACTAAGGCTTTTCTAACTCAGGAATAGATTACCTTAGCTGTATTTGGCAAAACTTTTAGGAATTTTTGGTCCTCAATGCTCTTCAACTTCGTACTCTATTTGGCCTTTTTAATATTTTTTTATTCGAGCGTCACTGATGAGTCTTTTGTAGACGAAACGCGCGTCTGGCGTAAATATAAAATTTCAATCCTGGTATCTGTGATGAGTTTATTTACAACCACTGGGTCGATGCCACTGCTGGTGGAGATTTATTTCCCCGAGGGTATCACCAGCCCAGTAGTCAACACTTTTGTGTTGACTTGAGTTATCATTGATATGTTCATAATTATAAATTAACTGTTAACAAAACTTTGAATTTTTGAAATGCTAAGGCTTTTCTACCTCGGGAATAGATTACCTTAGCTGTATTTGGCAAAACTTTTAGAAATTTTTGGTCCTCAATGCTCTTCAACTTCGTACTTTATTTGGCCTTTTTAATATTTTTTTATTCGAGCGTCACTGATGAGTCTTTTGTAGACGAAACGCGCGTCTGGCGTAAATATAAAATTTCAATCCTGGTATCTGTGATGAGTTTATTTACAACCACTGGGTCGATGCCACTGCTGGTGGAGATTTATTTCCCCGAGGGTATCACCAGCCCAGTAGTCAACACTTCTGTGTTGACTTGAGTTATCATTGATATGTTCATAATTATAAATTAACTGTTAACAAAACTTTGAATTTTTGAAATACTAAGGCTTTTCTACCTCAGGAATAGATTACCTTAGCTGTATTTGGCAAAACTTTTAGGAATTTTTGGTCCTCAATGCTCTTCAACTTCGTACTTTATTTGGCCTTTTTAATATTTTTTGGTTCGAGCGTCGCTGATGAGTCTTTTGTAGACGAAACGCGTGTCTGGCGTAAATATAAAATTTCAATCCTGGTATCTGTGATGAGTTTATTCATTAAGAATTGCCCATGCTCCGCCAGACAAACTACTAGCCAATAACAAAGATTTTGTTTTTGAGTTCCAATTGTGCAATTCTGCTAACAAATTAAATTGATTTAAATACTCTTCTAAATCATCATTACTGTCATAAACTTGGGGTTTAATTTTACAACTCAATTCATATTTGCCATTTGACCTATTGATATCAACTAAATTACTGTTATTATTATATCATCCCTTTCTCTAGAAAGCGTTAGGGAACTTACTACGTCCCTACTACTATTTTCGGAAGGTTTACATGAGATTGTAGTAAGTCTTGTTTCAAAATTTGAGAATATTTCTTGCATTCTTTTAGTGAAATCTGACATACATTGGTCCAAAAACCTTCTCATTTCCAGTCTAGCCTTTGCAATCATTCTATTCGTTGCTCCTTCACTTCTAGACATTCTAACAGGGGAACTTTCAAAATTATTTTCAGGTAGCGTTTCTTCATCGTCTTCCCTATTGTCTAGATGGGGCTTGAACGAAATAACATTCGAATCGTCCATATTTTAAAAAATAACAGCCTGATATAAACAAGCTGTATCAATTCCAACTTTCAACACGACTCTAGTATTAAATCCCACCGCTGCCACCAAATTGAAACGCTGCCTCCCTGGTGCTAGAGTCGGCCATCAGAGAACACAGGGTCACAAAGAAAAGGAGAGTAAAATGATCTATAAAGTGTAAGGTTCGACGTCCACTGTTTACCGTCGGACCAAAACACGTTACAGAAAGGGAAATCGCATACTTGTGTTTATATATATATTCTCAGTTGTGAGATAAAATATCTGAATAAAATAAAGTTTCATATTTTATTTATTTCAAAAATAATCCTCGACGGAGAGAATGGGTCTTGCCGGCTCTCTCACTGGTCTGGCCAGGTCCCCGGTAATGGTTGGTCTTACATATACAAACAAAACTAGTCTTTAATTCAACAGTCAAGTAACAAGGTTGTCACTTATTTAGCATCTTTCTATAATCTCAATTTAAGGATATTACACCCTACTACATTATAGAAGACAACAACTTAGTATAACAAATTAAATGACATATTAATCATGTCGGAACCGCCAACAGAACACTTAATGTGCACCTTCAATATCACTTCAATAGTACTGTCACCGGCACAGTCACCGTCACCGTCACCGGTACCGACAACCGTATTTAGCACCGTCACCGTCACCCAAAACCGTATTTAGCACCGTCACCGTCACCGTCACCCACAAACGTATTTAGCACCGTCACCGGCACCGACAATCTTAAATTAAAACAAAGTTAACTTTCAACGCCTGTCTGTATTTCTCAGACATATTCCAGCTTCTATTAAAGTTTGTCACTTCCCATTGTTTGTCAAACCAACACTCCGTCGGTTCTGTGGTTGCTTTTGCTTTTATACTTCCGACTGACCAATTGCAGAGCTTGTTACATATTGTTTACCAATCGGCAACCATGGATCACACAAGGGAAATTCCCGTAATGTTGATATTGTATGTAAACATGGATTGATCTTCATCAATAAAGATGGGTTTTGACTTTAAATTTATTAGTAGATCATTAGAAGAGTTTTATTTGAGTTTATAGTCTAACAAGGTAATTACCGCGAAAATATGGAATCAGTACGTGAAATAAAACCTCCTAACATACACAAATCTGTCGTATCCTTGAAACAACAGCCAAAATAACAAATTACAGGTCATATTATTTTCAACATTGGACATCTCACTCACATCTATCGTTTATCCTCAATAATTTCCAGAAACTATACAGACACAGATTTACTATAAAAAGGGGAGAAGGCCGGCATTACAATATGTTCATTTTCTGTAAATTTGCTATATATAAAATGTTGAAATATTCTAAACACTATGTTTTTCTACCCCCAGGTATAGCTTGCCCTTGAAGTATTTGGCTATTTGAACTTTTCAGATATTAATGCGCTTGAACTTCGTATTTGATTTGACTTTCGAACCGTTTTGATTTGAGTGCCAGTTATGAGTCTTATGTAGACGTACCAAATTATATGCCTAGTATCTTTGATGAGTTTTTACTGTTACCTAATAATGAAAACAAGTTCTAGAAAATTGTATCAACTGAGTTAAACCATTTCTTGAAGTCGGCCTATTCAATGACCGTTGTTTATTTTCTAGATTCAATGCTTCTTAGATTGGGAGTCAACAAATTGTCTTAATTATTCACTATGTAAGCTTGATATAATCAAGTTTTAATTGTCAAAGTAATTGATTTTTGTTCACAAATGGAATTTGTTTAAAATTTTACCTTTGACTTAATATACCGTCAATTGAGCTAAATAAATAAAATAGAATAGATAAATGATGACCAAGTTATCTGCTATAAGTTGGTAGCGGCTAGATGAATCCAAATTGCAGAGATAAATTTGGGAATAAAGATTTGTAGATATGAGTTATATTCTTCGTTTTTTTCATTATTTCATTCGTTTTTCGTTCTTTATGTGTTATTGTTTGCACTGATAATAGTTCATTATTTTTGTTGTTTGATGATTATCGAATATGTCTTTTGTTTCAAAAGTAAAACTATTCTATAAACATAATAGTGAATGTGGGATATTGTTGATTTTTTTTATGGAAACTCATCTGTTTCAATTCATATCTTTCCAAATGCACATTCGTTAAATGTAAATGGAAAATTCGATCACATTATGTTCTTCTTAGACAATCAGTACCTTGATATCTATAATCGAAAATTAATTTGAATTTTGTAAACTTGTTTCATGTGATAACAGCATTTATAATTGATCATATCTATAAACTTGTAACAATACCAACATTTTCTGTACATCCTCCCCTTAATTATATGAATTTCTTAATTTACATTTGTGGTGAAAGATATGGTCATAATTATAGATACACTGTTTACAAAACTTTGAATTTTTGGAAATACTAAGGATCTTCTACCCCAGGAAGGGATTACTTTAGTTGTATTTGGCAAAATCTATCTGAATTTCGGGTCCTCAATGCTCTTCAACTTCGAACTTCATGTGGAATTTTTAAACTTTTTTTATTCGAGCGTCACTGATGAGTTTATATACATAATATTGCAAGGACGAGCATGTTTGCGAGTGCTCCACTCTTCCCTAACCGGAACTGTTATGTAACAACACTACATACCATAAGAACAAACTGTAAAAATCATTTGAAAAAGGCTTGACTCATCAGATTGACACAAATCACAATAAAACTTTTAACCAAGACTAAAGTTCACAAAGTACCGAACTAAGAGTACTCGAAGATAGTTACAGTTAGTTCAAAGCCAATTACAACTAATAAATAAATCATGTTTCCCACACTAAAATATCAATCAGTACACATCCAATGGATTAAGTATAAAGACGTCATAAACTGACTGAGAAAATACATATCCTTGTACAATGTCGAACTATAAGTATCGACATCAAGTTCAAATAACACATGTATTTAGAATATATTATATAATAAAACATTTTTTTTACAAAATTATATTTAAAAGATACAAATGTATAATGTCAATATAAACACACATGAGCCGTCCAAATTTTGGTTGCATCTGGTAGATCCTTAGTAACCACCCTGAAACAGTAAAAAGTATGTAACATCATAAAGTTAATTTAGAAGATGAGACAGATAAAGTGTACAATATGTTGTGTGTCTACTCGTTTCTAAACATTAACACAATTATATATTTAAGCAAAACTATTAAATATAAAAAAGTAGTAAAAAAAATACCGGACTCCGGTAAATTCAAAATGGAGGAAATTCATAACACCTGACAAAATCAAAGACTTGACTACAATACCCAACTAAACGAATGTAAAACAACTGTCATATTCCAGACTTGGTATAGGAATATAAACGGTGCCTAGCTAGCTTTCTCCTCACCATTGATTCGTTTTCTTATATATTCATTGACCGTTCATGTTAAAAGTTCAAAAAAAAAAAAAATATTTTAGTCATAAATAAACGTTTTCCGGAAAGTGATAAAAATAGCGAAAAAAGAAAAATGCTAACAAAATTAGAAACGTTTGTCGTTTGATTAATAATCTGATAGATTTATACTTACTCTGCGTCCGTATGACTAAAAGGAAATAAAAACAATCATTTAATATTAATCTGGAGACTGATGTCAAATTATGCCAAATTAATTCTTAAATTAGAAAATTCGCAATAAATTAACTTATTATAATATGAAACAAATTCCTATACTGTGTCGAAAGAAATACACTAGATGTATAATAACAATAGAATTGTGTTGTATACTTTTCTCCTTACTTCACAATTGAACTATATCTTTTTACGTGATGACATGAATATACGATCAAAGCCCTATTAATTTTGCACTTAAAAAGACCAAAGTCTCTTTTTGAGATCGTATAAAAAAATGATGAAATCTCGGGTGTTGTCAGTAAGAACTTACTCGTTTTCCATATGATTTTCTGCCATTGTTACCATTGTAGCCATTTCCATTATTACCATTTTGGTAATCATTCTGATAATCGCGACCTCCGCCACCATTATTGGCGCCATTATATCCATTACTACCACTATTGAATCCATTACCACCACTATATCCATTTAGGCCATTGTATCCGTTTAGGCCATTGTATCCATTTCCGCCATTATATCCATTTAGGCCATTGTATCCATTTCCACCACCATTATTGCCATTTCTACCGCCATTGTATCCATTTCCGCCATTATATCCGCTACCACCAGTATATCCATTTAGGCCATTGTATCCATTACCGCCATTGTATCCATTTCCACCATTGTATCCATTACCGCCATTGTATCCATTTCCACCATTGTATCCATTTCCGCCATTGTTTCCATTACGGCCATTGTTTCCCATTCTACGACCATTATATCCGTTGTACCCATTTCTCTTATATTTTCCAGCATGTACTAATACGAGTGCGCAAATGCACATACAAAAATAACCAATCGATTGCATTTTCGACCCTAAAAATTATTGTACTAGTTCATTATAATTATTTTCTGATATATCATTAAAGGGTATATATTAAATAATGACAAACAACAAGAGTACAAGTCTGTAATATTTTAAATATTCGGGTGTCAAAACTTTTTTTAATTCTTTTCCGCAATTAAATTAGTGATAACGGTTTGAGCAAGTAGTTTTCGCAGATTTCTGTAATTGAAGTTCACAAGTATTCGTTATAATAACAGATTTCTTTAATTCGTTATCAAGGATAAAAGGCGTAATCACGGATTGAATTCGTGATAACGAATCCGTTGACTTACTTATCACATAATTTTAACATTAATTAAACCCGTAATCACAGATTTTTGGATCAAATTCGTGGTCACGCATTTTAAAAATTGTGAATTTTATCCGTTATCACGAATTATTAAAATATGCGATAATTAATTTAATCCGCGATCACGAATTACAAAAATGTGTAATCAATGATAATCCACAGATTCGAAATAACGAATTTAATCCTTGGAAATGAATTAACCAAATCATGATAACGATTTTAATTCATGATCATATTCTTAAAACCTTTTCATCAATTTATCTTAAATTCATGAAACATAAATTCCTTCAGCGCGCGCTATAAATTGCTCAAGAAGACATTGTTGATAAAATATCTCATTTTACAAAATAAAAAAGCATCTTGCAAAGTTCTTTAATTTCACTTTCAGATATATTGAGGATTTCACTCAATAACCCACATTTCAATGAGTGGTTCATATATCCAAGATAATTTGATATTAAAGTTACTACCGAAAGTAGAAGGTCTGCTTCATATCTTGATCTTTTCTTCGATATCGAAACAGATGAACGACTTCAAACTAAAATCTATGACAAAGATGATGATTTCAATTTTCTAATTGTCAACTTCCCATTTCTCAGCATTAACATACTCTGTGCTCCATCGTATGGCGTTTACATATCTCAGTTAATACGTTACACTCGTGCATGTTCACACTATACGGGCTTCGTGAGGAAGAACGACTGAAATCAACACTATATACTAGTAAGTTTTACGATCATCAATAATTAGTTGACCGATACGATGTGCCCTTGTCTCAATTCACTAGCGACTTGTTTTGTCGGACTTTGGTCTTTAGATACTAGTGAAGTCGTCTGATCTCTATTTAACCGATTTAGAAAATTTGTGTTATGCTAAGAACTATATGAAACACTCTGAAAATTGGTGCATGGAAAGAGATTTCCATGTTAAATGTTCATGATGTTTTCAATTTTTGTTTTATCAATATGCAACAAAGATTAACATTTTATTTAAAGATCAGTGTACAATCGCCTAAGGCAATTCTCTCGATAGATAATGAAAATAAGACAATATGCATTTGCATGGATATTCCTAATTCCTAATAGATAATGAGTATTTTTCTTTTATTCTTAATTCGCTAGTTTTTAACACTGAATGTGTATTCAAAAGATATATTGGTTTCGTTTATTGTTAGTATTACTAAAATGAAACTGTAGAGTGCTCTTTTGTTTAAATAAATGTGTATATATGAAAAAGCATCGTGTAACGTCTTCTTCTCATCTGAATCATTAACTATAGTAAAGAATGAGACAATAATTATCTTACCTTCAACTTGGTAACAGGACTACAATGAATAAGGCACGATGCTGGAATCCTGTAAACACCTCCCTTTATATACCATAGTTTAAACTAATTATAATATTATATGCAGTCAACACCAGGAAAAACAAATCAATTATTGAATTAATCATTTTATGTTTTTGAAGTTTAATAAGTTTTATGTGAAAAAGTCATCAATCTTAATTTATTATCAAATTTAAAAGTGAATAAGCAAAAGCTCCCAATAGTATTACTTTTAAAATTTTGATCAAAACAAAATTGAAATAAATTATTTTCCTTACAGTTCGGCTGACCTTATAGTTTCCCGAGCAACATCTTTATTTGCTGATTTCCGTTAGGAACGACAAAAAGTATCCAACTAATGGGATATTTCTTGCCAAAATTGTCGGAAAGAAGATGAACAATTCGATTTTGTGATAAATATTCGCTATGTTAATTAACGAGATAGCCAGGAATCAAAGAATACTGAAATTTTCATGAATAAGTCTATGCGTTTTTACTTTTTTTTCCATGATCAGCAAATTTCGACTTAATAATCGTTTTTTATTGTAAGGGAGTTATTTGTGAGTGTTTTGAAAGCTTTATATGCTATTTTGGAACATCTGATGAATCGACTTGATAATATCGCTGTTCACATAATTTGCCACTTTTGCATTTCAAAATTAATTCCATTTGATTACAAAAACTCAAGTGTAAAAAAGTATATGAAGGAAGGCCGAAGATACTAAAAAACGACAAGAGAAAAACAACAATACACAGAACACAATATAGAAAACTAAAGACTGAGTATTACAAACTTAAACATTCCCAAAGAAAAATAACAAAACACATACACAAATAGTCATACTTACACATTTTTATTTTCTTTAATGCAGTATATTATAAATCTGTTCTTTTTGTCAAATACTAGTAAGATAAATAGTTTTTTGAGATTATTACGCTAGTTACAATTAATGAATAAAAATTGCAAATTTCCTGGATTTATACGAACACTCGAGAATAATTGTTTGTAACACCAAAAGATATTAATGCATATGAATTCATGTACTTATAATGTAAATTAGATGCTTTCAATTCCTGGTAAAATAATTTACTTTAAAATTAGTTTACTTTCTATAATTTCGTGAATAGTAATATAAACTTATGTGTGATTTTAGTCTCTGGTGCATGATTTTTTATTATTAATTGTTTTTGGATTTTAACTAGCTGTCAATAACTGCGAGTACTTTAAAATCGTACTTTCTTGTTAATTTGACCTGTTGATACTATTTGTAATGCGTTTTTGTTATTTAATGTTTACTTATTCAGGGTTATGTCTCGTATATATATCAGCTTTAATAAGTGTTTGGTATGACTATAAATTTTCACTTCCTCGTACTATGAAAAAAAATTTCCGTTCTCCATTTAAACTGTATACCTTACAACAAAATTATTTTCATTTACCTGTGTATATTATTGTATTTGGCGGCTTTTTGTTCAAGGCTGTTGTTGTTTTTTTTTAAATTGTTTAACATCTCACAGCGGAATACTACTGTTGCCTTTATTTATTCACCCCTTATTTTATTGATTATGTATTTACATTGTATCATAGATCAAATTTATTCGTTCAGTGTATGTTCACTTGTGTTAATATGTCTTTTGATTGAGTTAAGCCGTTTCAATTGATATTTTATAGTGTTTCTTTCTATGTTGTGATGTTACACTATTGTTTCAGATAAGGGTGAAGGTTGGTACCTATTAATACGTTTAAACCCGCTGCATTTGTTTGCACTTGTCCTAAGTCAGGAATCTGATGTTCAGTAGTTGTCGTTTGTTGATGTGGTTAATAAGTGTTTCTCGTTTCTTTTTTTTTATATAGATTAGACCGTTGGTTTTCCCGTTTGAATGGTTTTACATTAGTCATTTTTGGGGCCCTTTATAGCTTGCTGTTCGGTGTGAGCCAAGGCTCCTTGTTGAAGACCGTACTTTGAC